AGTTCCTTCTCCTTGCGTTTTGCCTCTACCTCACCTGCCGCTTGCTTCTGCCTGCCGGACAGTTGCATGAGCTGCTGTCGCAACCCACAAACGAGAAAGATGACAGCACCGACCGCCTGAACTTGGCTTGGATTTTGGTTGCGGCTTGGGCCGTCTCGTCGTTCATGGGGATGTCGATTTCAGTGTCGGATGTGCCAGGCAGGCCGTCTTTGGGCGCGAGCTGCACGTTCACAACAGCCCGACCGTTGGCTTCAAGGACAACGTCAACCTTGACAGAGATCCACTGCCGGAACTCATCCAACCTTTGCCTTCGGCTTTGCTCCCTGTAAGCAGAACTGGCAAAGCGGAACAGCAATGGCTCTTGGGAATGTGCATTCAGCTGTCCCATGAACTGCCCGCCTGTTAGAGCACGCCTGTGCGTGTTTCTGCTGACGCATGCCCTCCACTTCGCTGGCTGCCTGCTTCTGCCTTCGGAGGTCAGCATGCTCCGTGCGGCTTTCATCAATGCTCACCCACCGCATCACTCACCCACCGCATCACTCCCGAAGATCTCACAGGACCAAGACATGTCTGGAATGTCTGTTTTTTGCGCAGAAGGCAAGCATGCTTACTCGCGCGTCACGGAAGCAGATCGTGGAACTGCCACGCATCGGCTCGGTGCCTGAATCTGGCCTGAATCTTTGTGGCAGAGGCTGCTTCTTGCTCCTGGAGCAAGGTGATTAGTGATGGGACCTCAGGACATGCAGGAACTATGTGGTCAGCATCTCCTTCTGGCGGCGCTCGGCAACCCTGTGACGATATCGAGATTGAATGGCCTCTTGCTCAACTGCTGGGTTGCTGCACAAACACTGACATCGACACTCGACGACCCTGGACATAAACCATGTGGCTCCATCCATGTTTCTTGGGGGTGTGATGTGATGACATGTCAATTGCATTAAGAATCCAGCTTCAAGCTCCAACTTAATGGTGGATCCCTTACGGATCACGGGCATTGATGATATGTCAAAGACCAGCACAGATCCGCTCTGTCTGTCTCTCGCTTTGCTTTGCTTTGCTGGGGGTTTGAGGCGTCGGCAGTCCTGATGCCCCGCGCACAGGGCGCTTCCCCATCCGTCATGTCTGTCTCTCGCTCTCTCTCGCTTTGCTTTGCTTTGCTTAGGGCTTGGGGCTCGCTCTCTCTTTTCTTTCGCCAGGGCTCTGATGCAGGGGGAAACCCCCTACTCGCTCTCTCTCTCTCTCTCTCTTTCTTTCGCCAGGGTTAGGGAGGTTTCCCCCCAGCTGACCTCCCTCTCTCTCTCTCCCTCCCGGGCCAAAGGAGGAAGGTGGCAAACCCGCCCCCTCGCGCGAGCGCGCACCTGCAGGTCCCCGCAGGTTTTGAAAATCCACTGAGGGCTTTTGCCGTGTGAGCAGCTACCAACAAGTTGTTCCGAAGTGTCACGGAATACACATCCCCCGGAGACGACACTGCACTACACTTCGAACCTGGCCTGAGAGAAACAACAACACTGGCTTATCACTTGCACAACACCACCACTATTTAGCAACACTCAGTCCACCCTGAGGCTCTGGCCGCCATCTGCAGGGTTTCCCCCATTCAACAGAAACACCCCACTGAAAAGGAAAAGGTAGTGTCAACAAAGGCAGCATACTGAAAGGTAAGAGTAGGAGGTAGTCTCTCGCTCTCCCTCTCTGCTTCTTTCTTTATTTGCTTAAGCGTTCAAGCGTCCGGTCCACGGACCCCCACACCCTAGGGGCTGGCACATGTTGGGGTTTTGGACTCTCGCAACTCGGACCGCGCAGGGATAGCCCCTCTAGCAAGATGCCTTTGAGCAATCAGCACTCCCAAACCTCAACCCCCGCCCCGACCTAAGCTCTCTCTGGTCATCCTTCGGCAGGGGCCATGCCAATCTTCTCTGTATTGTTTCAATTTTGTCGGATGCCTTCGGCGATTCGGGGACTTGGCCGTCGGCTGAGAAACTTAATTCCGTACTCCTCCTCTCTGCCGCTTCATCCACGTGGTCCCACTGCGTGGATCTGTGCTACCCCCGAGCAACTGCAGGATGTGATCGCCACATGGCACCATCACGCCAATCTTGAAGGCCACTGCGGCTGACGGGCACTGGTAGCCGCTAGAATTCGGGTATCACTGTCACGAAAGGCCTGTGAGGCAAGATCTGATTGCGGCCAAGGTGCTGTTGCTGCCTAAGCTGGTCAAGTCAGAACTAGCCACCAAACTCCGACGGCATCCTGCGCCCTTCAGCAACTCCCTCATTACTCCTGTGATGTAGCACCTCGTGCCAGGACTTCGTAGAAGAAGAGGTACTCGAAGCAGTAGTCCGTAGTCAATACTCACTTTCGATCTCCGACAGACGAGACTTGAGAGGGAGCATTTCGGCATGAAGGATCTGCGGAACGAGTAGCAAATGACAAATCATTTCGGCTGTGCAATAAAGTGATCCCTAGTGCGGTGTAGGAGCTGTTTATTGGTGCGTTCTCAATGGCTTCCCAAGGTGTTTGGAAACGGGTCCAGCCGTGTCAAGACAGTTGTTGCTCTCTGGCGTCGGAGCTTGGTCTGGGGAGCTGGAAAGGCCCTTTGCACGAGGGAAGCCTGCGATTCATCTTCTGCACGCAAAAAAGCCGAATTCAGTTGAGCTGCCTGCTTCTGTTCGCGCATCTCCTGCACCTGCTTGTTGGCTTGGCGTCCGCGATACCTCGCTTGGATCCTGAACAGCGAGACTCAGAATAGACAGCTTCGTGAGTCGCCATGGGCCCTGAACGACAGTATCATTCGTCTCCCATCTCGCCACACACCGTCCTTGCAGCAGCATCACTCTCTTCCTTTTGTTGCTTCTTCTTGAGTCTGTGAACCTCGTCTTTTGCTTGCTTCCTTAGTGATTGCAGTACGGGCGCAAACCTCTCAAAGGACCCCTCAGCCTCACATCCCGCATCATCCAGGAAAGGCTATCGAACCATGTGGGACACAAACACTTTGGCACGGTACATGGTCCTGATTCTGTCACTCACACTGACGGATCGTTTGCAGCAAGGCCTCTGCCGGAACCTTGCCTGAATCTTGGTTGCTGCCGACTCCTGCATGTCCGAATATAATATGCCCCAGGCAAGAACGCCAAGCGCAAACAAAACAATGCAGTTCGTGGTGCAAACTGTTTCCAGACCGCTGCGAAATTTGAGCCCTTGGAGGGTACCCCTGATGCGGCAAACAGGCAGAGTTGTCTTTGAGTTTTCAGATTTGTGAGGGAGAAGGGCCGGAGGTTGAACTGTCGACAATATCGCCGAGCGAGCCTCTTCCTTCATTTGCCCAAGGCTTCGAAGGCTGCGAACACCGTTCACAAGAGCCTCGCTCAAAGGTTGCGACCATGTGGACAGAATCAAGTGGATCCCGACATCCCGACACTACGTAATGTTATGCTGCCTGATGTCCTCCGCAACCCTGTCGCGTGCCTCAGGAGGTGGAGAGTCTGCCTGGGCATATCTGGCACTGAGCGCCTGTTCATTTTCGAAGCAAAAGGTGCTTTCTCAGGTGGGTACATCTCGCATGGCTTCGTAATCTCGAACAGACTTGGCAACCCTCACGCGCAAGAGCAGAGGCGGGATGATGACCTGCCGTTTCAGTACAGCGACCCTTTCGAAGCAAGAGTGGGATGAGCAAAGGCAAGAGTAGCAGCGGCAGTGGCGGCGGTGGGAGGAGCAAGGCAGCAGCATGAGAATTACGGACATTCATAGTGGTCAGGCGGTCATGGAAAGGTGCCAAAAAGAAAGTACTAGTTTTTGCGTTCTCTGCAGGTGGGCCAAAAACAAAGTACGTGGGAGTCTTGCAGCACAAAATGCGCATTTGTGCGGCTGAAGCACCTCCTGTCTTGACATCGAGCTGCAAAGACAGCTTGCCGCAAATACAACTACACAAAAATCTGTCTTCACTCTGCACCAGACCACAATAGCTTCACGTTATCAGACTTTTGCAGGAGCCTGAAAGGGCTCGGGCAACCGCAATGACGTTGCTGACCCCTACCTGCCCCCGCAACCCATCCTCCGCAATCACAAAGAAGCAGTTCGACCCCTGGATCACATCATGGCATGTAGCCTACGACGACGACGACCACTATTTCTACTTGTAGAAGTAGCAATAGCAGCAGCTTTACAGTATGCCGGGAGAGTGGAGCCGCTAAGCAAAGCAACATGATTTTGCTTTGGGCATTTTGCCCGGGTGGAGGGGTCTCAGCTACGTGATCTCGGAAATCTTGCACCAGTCGGAGTTGGGCAAGATGACCAGTCATCTTGGCCCCCACGATGACCGGTCATCTTGCGCCCCCCGGTGGTGCAAGTGGGACACGGACCGGAGCTCCATTCCACTTAAAACTCCAAGAGCAAGATTACCCAGGTGAGAGAGGAGTAGTTAGTAGTTGTAGTAGTAGTAGCAGCAGCAGTAGCAGCAGCAGCAGCAGCAGCAGCAGCAGCAGCAGCAGTAGTAGTAGTAGTAGTGGTAGTGGTAGTGGTAGTAGTGGTAGTAGTGGTAGTAGTGCTAGTCGCCATAGTAGTGGTAGTAGTGGTAGTAGTGGCAGTAATAGTAGTCGTCGTAGTCGCGGTCGCAGTCGTCGTCGTTCTCGTCGGACGTCGTAGTAGCAGCAGTGGCGACATTCCCGTTGATGGCATTAAATTCGTTTCGGCTTTGCCAGGCTTAGCAAATTTCGAGAAGGGCGGGTCATTCGCAAGGCCAATTCTCGAAGGGCGGGTGGGGAAACGATCCGTCTGCATATTGCAGGAAGCTTTTCATTACAAGGTTTGCAAGGCGCATACGGGTTCGAGGGCGCGCCGGCTTTAGAGGCTGGAATAGCGGTATTCGGAACAAATATGAATTCTCTTTCATTTTTCGCAGTGTTGCCCCCGGAAACGGTTACGCACGGTTTTTCCGTTTGCTTCGGGATAGACTTTACAGGGGAGGCCTGTGGACTCCTATGGACGGTTTCTCCTCTGTTTGCAATGGTATTGAACCTGGCCCCTTCTTTCCACCCGAAAGGCGACATTGTATGCCTTCTGGCCAGACTCTGCGGTACTACGGGGAGCCTTCAAATTCGGGGGCCCGGCTGTTGTGGGCTTTTACATCCCGCAAGAGAAAACGTACGGCTTCTCCTTTTGTTAGCAGTAGCGCTTAGGCTGAAGCCGGGAAGAGGCCCGCGGCTGTTACTGTTTTTAAAGAAGGGAGTCGTCGAAATACTTGCAGCAGCACTCATGATCCTACAAGTAGCAGCAGCTTTGGTGTAGCGGCCGCATTAGCAGGCAAGTGACGTCTTGATTGCAGCAGTCGCTTGATGCGCACAGGGTACAGAAGGCATCAGAAGGCCAGTCCTCTTCGTCCTCCCCACCGTGCATCGCATCATGCGACCTAGGCGACTGCGCCAGGTAGGGTGCCGAAGTGTATCGAAGTCACATCTCAATACCACAACTAGGGGCATGGCTGTCCACTACATGCACGTCTCAAGACGGGCTCGATCTCGGCAAACCCGCGGCTGGCCATGTCGTAAGCCTCCAGGACAGGCAAAAGGCTCGCAGGCTCAGAGCGGCGATCGGGGCCGGAGCCTGCTTTGTCGTGAAGCGATCGTGACTAGTGGGACTGGGAAGAACCCGTCAGTCCAAGATGGAAGGATGGCAAGGCACCAAAGTTTAACTCCAAATGCTCAGTGCAAGAACGAGCCTTGTCATACAAGGCCGGGGTCGGGCGCGCGTCTGAGAAATGCCTTACCAGGCTGAATTCGGCCGCAACAAATCAGAGCCTATCATGACATGACATGCTGACATCCACGTTGCCCCGGAATGCGTGCTTTTCGCTGCAGGCCCACCTGACACAGCTCCGCGGCTCAATTTGAGTCAGTCGATGGGGCAAGCAGCTTCGACAAGCATCAACCAGAACACTGTAAAAAGGAAAAAGCATAGACGCACGGTGAGGGAAACCTGCACTGACAAGTGGCAACTGCTGTGAATTTAAGGCGCGCTGAAGTGTAGAATCTGTGCATGTAGCAACCAACAGCAGCTTCGGTAGTAGGGTTTTGGGGAAGTGGAAGATATGTCGAGAGATATCGCCTCCAAAGAATGCTCACGGCCACTTTCTATGCGACAAAGTGTGCAGGTGTTGGTTCGCACAGCAGCCGAAGTCATCGCGGAGACCGGTTCTGGAGGGTCTTCCTGCAAAGAGGCATGCCCTGGCAGCATTGCATCAATTCCGATCCGAGGAAAGAGGAGTCCAAGAAGTGACATCAACACAGCACATCTGCAGCCGGAAGGTCAAGAACAATGAGGTTTGTGTCCACGTCCGCTAAGCCGCTAAGGGCCGCACACCACAACACAGAGGCACAAAAACTGATGCACAGCCAACGATCGCAGAAGCGGGCACCGTTCAGCGAGCCTCGGTGGCAGTCTGCTTCCTCGGGGCCAAGGACTCTGTGATCCTGGATGCATAAAGTGCCCGCCGGAGACCTTGCTCAGGGAATCCCTCGATCCCGCACCGCTCTTCAGTGCTTGGTGCCTCCACCATTTTTAGTCGGTCTGCGCGGGGGCGGAGCGGGCAGCTGCCTTGTTTTTCACGCGGGTTGAGACGTAAAGCACCAGGAGCCCAAGCATCCGAGGGGCTTTGACACGAAGTTGGCGACTTCTCCAGACCAGCTCCACTCCATGGCACGAGTCCCTACGTATGCGTGTATGTGCATGTTTTGTAAATGCATCGCCCCATCGTCCCCGTCACCTGCTAAGCCCAACCTTCAATCTTGTGGAATCGGCTTGCCAACTACTGCAGCACGGCGGACGGGCAGCGGCAATATGCCACTTCCTTGCTTTCCTCGCGCAAGGTGCATGAGATAATACGCAGTGCATCAGTCTCACTGCTCCACACGGCGAAAGCTGGCAATCACGATGATATTCCCATGGCCAGCGCCGTATTCGTTCGCTGACCGGCTTGCGCCGGCGTGAACATGAAAGCTACAACCAGTCAGACACCAAAGGACCAGATTGATGGATGCTTATCTACCGTTTGAACACGTCTCATGCTTCCCACATGTTGGGCATTACGGGTCAGAACTGACAGCATGTATGCCGAAGCATAGCCATCCTAACTCGCTGTTGAAAGACAGATGCTGACTGGCAAGCAGACAGAATGATGAAGACTTGCTCCGCTCATCTGCTTGTCGCACGCTGGATTTTGTAGGGGGCTTGTGCTTGCTTTTCGGTGCAAGCACAGTGATGCGCCCCGCGTGCGAGGCGAATGACCTTTGGTCGCTGAGCACAGCCAGGAAATCTGAGTCGAGGCCTAGAATAGGGGAACGTCGTGGACCTGCGAAGCGCGAGCTTCGCGCCTGTCATCCCGAAAGTAACAGGGCCCTTGCATGGGCGCTTGCAAACTGAGCCTCAGTCCATCTCTTCCACAGTGTCCTGATCAGGGACTCTGGACTTTGCATCTTGCGCAGTCTATGCTTCCCTGCCTGGCCTCTACGCGTCTGAGGTCTGAGATCTGCACCTACGGCTACATGCAGTCGGCGCTGCCGGCTGGCTTGTCGTTGCCATCGAGTCGCGGGTTAGTGCAACTTGGACATTCGAAGCGCCTGAGAGCCATCCTCGAAGACGATCTTTGCAGTGGAGCGCCTTGAACTTATTGACACAACTGGTCGGAGACAGTAGCGGCGCTTTGTCATGCTTGGGTATCTGCACATCACCGAGTGTCTTCAGAAAGTCCAGTAAAGCTTCATCCTGCGGGACTGGCTTCTTGAGCTCTTGAGTGCTCAGCTGTCAGGAGTCCTGTCCCCAATCCGCCAAGGCCACCTCCCGCACGTTTGGAAGCTCCTGTCATTCGGCTCCACCTTAAGTCTCAATTTCGTTGTACTACCTGCCATCACTCTCGCGACCTCTCTCGATTTATGGCCTGGCCCTGTGCCCTGCCTCCAGCAAGGAGGGGAGAACATGCCACGCAACCACTGGAAAACCAAGGACCTCAAGCTGATATACACGAACAGAACAAGACAGAGCTTGGATTCCGCTGAACTCGGCACCTCCAGGCGCCTGTATCTGTGGCAGTCCTCAGAAGCCTGGCAAGCAAAGACCAGCTGTCGTTGAATCTCCGCTTGTGGTAACTACTGATGCTATCTTCGGCTTTTTGACCCCTTGTTCGCAAATAAAATTTACGGCGGCAACAACAACAGCATTCATATCTCCCTGACGCGGGAGTGGACTCTAGCCTCTAGCGGAGTCCTCATCCGTTTCATGGTGGCAAGATTGCTTTCCACACCCGAAAGGCAAGATTCATCTGTGGCTTGCTGCATGTCGTGTGCGCTCCTGCTGGTTTGACGCTTCAGGCTTTGTTGGCATGCCTGTGCACAGATCCCATCCTCCGTCCAGGTCGGACACACGTCCGTGTCTCGAAGTTGGGTGCTCGCATGAATAAACTGAAAAAGAGGATGGTTCTCAGTTGGGAGTAACCTTTAGTGAAATTAACACGAAGCCTGAACTGCAAAGCCCTTGGATGATTGCAGCTGTTGTGCAGACCGGCAGGCCACAGTGCTGCCTCCCTCAGCCTGTCCAAGATTTGCGCAGTGTTTCCCGCCAGATCGACGATGTAGGTCTGAGAGCATCGGGGAAAGACTGCTCAACGAATGAATGCCGCTTCGCGCTTGCCACACTTGAGGTCCTCACCTTATCTTCTCTGCCTGCAGCCACATGTAACAACTCCAAGGCATCGGCATGCAGCATGCAACCTTGTTGCGGCAGCGGACCTAGCCGTACCTACACAGATGCAGGACCACATAGCCAGTCACTCGAGGACGCTGCATGCCTCGACCGAGGGAATGCGATGGTTCGCCTGACAGAGTTCCAAGCACTCGCCCTAAGCCTAAGCGACATCATGCGCGATTGATCGTGACGGATTTTGGACACACTGCCACCTTGTTTTACGGGTAGCACCATGACACAAGCGTGCATTGAAGACCTCGCTATGAGTACTTCATGGCCAGCAGCATACAATACAAGCCCATCCATGCTGGAATTGCCTCCATAGCCATCGACTGGGCGTAGAGGCGAAGCGATGACGCGGTTGTGCGAATTAGTCCATCAGGAAATACAAACTGCCCCGAGCAGAGATAAGTACGATGAGGCAGATTGGCCCTGTACTGCGTGGCTGTACTTCGTTGATGTCGGTAAAGATAGCGAGGGCTCATTCAAACCGTAAATGGATCTAAATGGCAAAGTGACTGTGAAAGCTCAGAAGGATCACGGTGCCACGCCTTGTCACATGACACACATCTACGTGTTGCTCGCTCAACAGGTGGATGAACTATGAGGCAGACCTTTCGTGTTCGCAGCACTAACACCAGGGGCGGCGTTGGTTCACTTGAGTCACACACGCAAGGTCGGGAATGCAAATACTCACCACGTGATTGGTACGAAATGGGATCTCTCAACACAGGCTAGAGCCAAATGTCGTGGCAAACTCTCTCTCAAGAACTGCGGCGACGGTGCTGATCTTCCACACGCCTGGACGCAGTGTTCTGTGGTTTGGGCTGGATCCCGACCAACAATTATACACTCAAAGTGCAGCTGCGAAAGTTTGGACACAGCGACTTCTGGAGAGCGCCCGATATTAGCGTAAGAAAGAAAAAACAGTAATAGCGTAAAGTGCGCCGCAGCGCACGCAAAACTCTGAAGGCACCACCTGAACCTTGGTGCCTCGAGGGACTGGCGCTGTTGAAGCAGACAAGCTGAACCCACAACTGGCTGTCCCTCTTGGCTGGCGCCTCGACTTTAGTCGACGTGTGCGTGTGCCCTGCGCCGTCTGTGACGTTGCTGGCTTGGTTCACTGCTGTCACTCAGTTCTGCTTCCGGCGGGTGAAGTGGCGCCCTCCAGCTCGTAGGTGGGTGTCCCGCAAGGGGTGCGTTCTGGTGCCGTTGCCGGGCACTCCCCCGCAGGTTTGGTGTTCTCTGTTGTGCCCCTGTTCGTCGCTGGGGCGTCGTCTGTGGTAGTCCTTGGTCGCGTGGTAGTGCTCCGCGTGGTTCGGGTTCTGGTTCAGCTGGGCCTGGTCCTTCTTCGGCCGGTACTTGTAGTACGGGGTGTCCCGGGCGTTCGGGTAGTTCTCCGCGTAGGTCGTCAGCGCATGTCTCGTCTTGTGGGGTTTCGTCGTCGACCAGCGTCACCACATGTCCCCAGAATTGGGTGCTCCACGTGTACAGGTCTGCGAATGCTTCCGTCGCAGTGGCTTGTGTCTCCTCGTACAAGAAAGGCACTAGGGTGCGCGGAAAAGCTCGACTGGTAGTTCAGAATGGGTGTCCGGCCCTCCGTTGTGTGCCAGCGTGTCCGCGGGGTGCCTCGTTCTCTTCCGCAAGGCAACAATCATCGCCACCATCAGCTGGAGTAGTTCGTGTGCCGCTGGGTGCGGGTTGGGGGGGCTCGGGTAGTTGCGTGCCCCAGTGGGCTGCGGCGAGCAGGGGTAGGGGTCTTGGCTGCTGCTGCTGGTGCCTGGTGCCCGCGGTGCCGGGTCTTCATGTTTCGGTGGGTGGTTAAAGTGCTGCCAGGGCTTGCTGAGCTTGTAGTAGTGCTTCTCCGCGCGTTGTCTCCACGATGCGGCAGAGGCACCGTCTTGCTCTTGCTGCTGCGGCTCGTGCCTCCTGCTCTGTGGGTGTTGGGTACTTCGTTGTTAGGCTTCGCTGCATGAGTTCTGTTTTGTCATGTTTGTCTTGACTTGGCCAGCTGCGCTCGCTCTCGTCTCCTTGTGCTGTTGCCGCCGCTGCTGCTGCCAAGACCTGTGATGGTGGAGCTTTAGCGCGGTGTGGCAGGCATCCCACTGTTGCCCAGAACAAGCCCCAGAAGCCATTCCCCCCATGCAGCCCCAGCGGGTCTGTACTCCGGACCCACTAGAATGTGTAGGCTAAAATGATTTTGCCTGGCGCTTCCAGAACCCGGCAAAATAGCTTTAACTGCAGTTGTGGCGTAGCTTCGGCATGCTGAGGACAGACTCACGCCCTCCCCCCCGGGTGCAGCGTGACGGTGCGGAGTGAGAAGCAAGTAGATTCCCCCATGACGGACAAGCGTGCCGTCGCCTGAGGCCGCACAAAAACGAGTGACGCAAATTGAAAAAGTGATCACATCCGCAAGTCTAGCGCATGTCCAGCGTCCAGCTTATAAGGTTCTTTGCCGTGGACATCCAAACACATTTTTATTACCATTACGGATAGTACAGTCTTGTTGCTGATTATGAGCGGTATCGTTTTCCTGGCCAGCTCGGTGGATCTCCTTCCGATGCTGGCCCAGCTGCACTGCCGTGTAGCTGCATGCTTCACCCCACAAGGCCATTCCCCCAATCAGCCAAAAGCTTGTTCTTGGCTTGAAGCTCGATCATGGCTTGTGTGGAAAGGAACCTGAAGTAGCATGGTGCCCAACTTGTGCTTTTGAGACTGGGTTGGGCACATGGAAACTGAAATGCTGACTTGATACGGGCTTGCAGACGAAGTGCGCGGACACTAAGGTGCAGCAGGTCCATGTGCTCATAGGTAAGCACACGCGTGAGTGTGTGTGGGTGTGCGCACGAACGATCGACCTTTCAGAATTTCAGAATGCAGGCACAACCCCACGCCGCAACAGCAACAGCAGTGAATAAGAAACTGCATGTACACTCGAATCTACAATGCAAGTACACTAAGCCACTCAGCCTTGGCACGTGATCTCACTAGGTGCATTCTCACGTGACTTCCCCGAGCAGACGTTAACCGGATCGTAAAATGAAGCTTTGCTCAAAAAACGAATCAAGAAACTGAGTAGCTGCATTGGACATTCCAATAGGGAATAGGCGTGCTTCATCAAGTCTTAATCAGGCCTGAATAACCCTTTGTCAGACAAGAGAGAACACAAAAACACAAGAATTGAGCGGCTCGATTTCATAAATTTAAGAAATTGAAGGGCTCAATGTCTTATTTTGGTGGGTTCTGGGCGTCCCTAATAAGAGCTTAAAAAGGCCTTAACAACAGCTTTGGAGGGCTCTCGAGGCTGTATGGGCTAATAAGGGCTTAATGAAGCTTTGTCATACAAGAAAAAACCACCAAAATAAGAAGTCGAGGAGCTCGATTTCCTAAATATGAGAAAGTGAGGAGCTCAAGTTCTCATTTTGGGAGGTTCTGGTAAGGGCTGAATGTAAGCCCTATGAAGTGATGAAAATGGGTTCAAGAAAGCTTCAATGCTGCTCGAACCTCCCAGTCGGTCTTGCGTGCTTGTGAATTTTTTGAGCCCATTAAGTCAAAATCCAGAGTACCCTCATGTTACACATGTTATAAAGAATGCGCTTCAAAATTGAGAGATCGAAGGTCCCCTCGCAAAAAATGACTGTTTCTTAAGCGGCGCTGTCGCTGTA